GGTGGGAAGGCCGGGGCTTCCTGTCTCCCACCTGGAGGATCACCTGCTCTTCAGGGCGGCAACAGGGGGGCCATGTGAATGTAGCCCACAAATGTCACTAATGAGGCCCTTCCTTGGTAATTAGCAGGCTCACATGACAGGAACCTGAACAGGCCAGTTCGTCCCAGCAGGCCCTAGCAGGCCTGACCTAAGCACCAGAGAGAGGCCTTTGTCCAAGGGCAGAGGGGACACGGAAGGGGGGCGGGGCAGGGGAGCACAGATCGGAGGAGCGACGAAAACGGGGAGCAGCCCAAAGGACGCCCGTCTAGCGTGGGGACCGAAAGGCACCGATCCAGCAAAGGCTGCCCTTTTGTCTCTAGAGAAGGTTTGTGCCTCAGCCCGGGACAGCCGCTGGCCTAAGCTCTGAACCTCTCCCATCGCAAACCTGTCAAATCTGAAGCTCAGCCCCTGGGAGCACCGAGGACACTTGACAGAATAGATGGGTTTTACAAGCTCGGGTGATGGGGACTGGTAATGAAGCTATCACTCAGGTTAGGGGTATCCACAGTAGAGCATTTGCCTAACATGAGTTAGGCTTGGTGTCCTATCGCTGTCACCTTAGAAGAAAAACCCTCTATGATTCTCTGATCATTAACTTATGGGCTGTAGCTGTCTGCAGGGTCAAGGAGGGGCCGCTTTCTGGAGTTAGCACAAAGAGGTACTTAAGGGGCTCCAGTGAGGGGGAGAGAGACAAAGACAGCACACATGTGTGTCTGGCGTGTGGGGTGGGCCTATGTGCAAGCGTGTGCTCGACCGGGAAGCCACATCCCATCTCTAACGGTGCATCTCCAGGCTGTGTTGACAAGGTGACAGAAGTCTCCTTCACACCCCAGCGGAGCACAAGTCAGCTCTCTACAAGCCCGGATATCCCAGCCTTGGATGGTCATAGGTGCTCAGCTCCGGGAGGGTCGTGGCTTGCTACCCTTTAGCTTGGTCTGGTATGCAAAGTGTGTGGGGACTGGGGAGAGGGCCTCAGGAAGAAGGATGCCAGAGCCAGCCGCCATCACAGGGACTGCTGATAAGGAGGCGGCCACAGTTCACCAGACGCTTATTTCCCGCCTGCTGTATGCCCCGCAGGGGTCTTCAGGGGGAAAGTCAACAGCTCCGCTTCAGCAGGGGAAGGAAATCCCAAGAATTCTCAGAGCCTCCGGTACAAAGAGCCTGGGAAGGAGGCACGTAGGGAATGCTAGCCCAGCTCCGAGCCGAGGACCCTGCATCCGATGAGTGCTTGGAGTGGCTGTGCAGGGCAGGCCTTGCTCTTTGGTAGAACCGGGCAGGAGTCCCCGGGGTCTGCTTGCTTTTGTTCAGGAACCCCTGAGCAAAAGCAAGCTTGGGCAGCTTGGTCATGGCTGCTGCAAGTGGCCCAGTTTCTTATCAAAAGAGACTACAAAGATCTGTGAAGATTTAAATCTGTTTTCTCAAGGACTTAAAAGACAATCGCACATCCTTTGAAGCTCCTGCTTGGGAGGCAGAAGGCTTAATTAGGATTGTGATCGCATTCAGTAGGGCTGTAATCGCCAGATACACGGTCTAGAAAAATTTACCCATCACCACCCGTGCCTGTTTGCATTTTATCTGAACCCAGCCTACCCTTGTGCAAACAAACCGGGACCTGGGACGTGGCTGTAGCCACATGCCAGGCAGGCTCAATTCCTTCACATACCTGGACATGGATTTCTGATTTCCCCCATTCATCCTCCCCCTGCCCCCCAACACTGAAAACCAGGCAGATGCCACAGTCTCAGGGGCCTTTAGACCTGGAATGCTCCACCCCTCTGAAACCTCGGGGTGGCCTCTTCGTTTCCTTTGGAGCACAGGCACCCAAGGACAAGGAAATGAAGTAGGCAGGGACAGGCAAAGTTCAGAGTTGGAGTGAGCCAGGCACATGCGTGTGGCCCCAGCTATTAGGAGGCTGAGGCAGGAAGATCAATGGAGTCCAGGAGTTCAGGGCTACCCTGGGCAATACAGCGGCCCCATCTCGACAAAACCAACAAACAGTTTCAGTGACCTGAGCATAACATGCTGTGATTTAGAAACCGCTGGAGAACTTTCTGGAAAGGCTAAGCAGCAACTATTGCAGCTACTATCTCCTCACTGAAGCAGTATCCTTGTTTGTTTGTTTTTTGAGACAGGGTTTCTCTTTGTAGCAGCTCTGGTTGTCCTGGATCTCGCTTTGTAGACCGGGCTGGCCTCAAATTTAGAGAGATCCACCTGCCTCTGCCTCTCAGAGTGCTGGGATTAAAGGTGTGTGCTAGGCCAGTTTATTTTTGTTTTCCAAGGTTGCCATACACATGACCTCAGGCAGTCCCCCTAACCCAGTGGTTCTCAATCCCTTTGAGGGTTGAATACCAGGTGTTTACATTACAATTCATAACAGTAGCAAAACTACAGTTATGAAGTAGCAACGAAATAATTTTACAACTGGGGGTCACCATAACACAAGGAACTGTATTATAGGGTGGCAGCACCAGGAAGGTTGGGGACCACTGATTTAAAAGCAGTCTCGCTACCATACCCACTGAAGAGAAAGCACCGAGGCCGGGGAGTTAGCACTATCACTGATAGACAGGCAAGGCTGCCAGCCATCCCAGAATCACCTGCACCAGGTGCTTCCCTCCTCAACCCCAAGAACAGCAGCAAGGAGGAGGGGTTCTCATGCCTGTGAACACCCCAGGGAACACTCCAGAATGCAGGAGAGCCAGCCTACTGGGTTTGTGCTGCCTGTCCCCCGAAACCCCAGTCCAGTGCAGACACAGTCTAGCTGAGTCAGCTGAAGGCCCTGCCCTGCCCTGGGGACAGGGAGGAGCTGTCCCCTAGATTCCTGCCCTGCCTAGGCTGGCAAGAGCTGACAGGGTACCCTGTCTCTCCCCTCTCCAGGACTGATCCCTAGCAACAGTCTGGTCATCCAGGGAGGGGGAATGTGGGAAGGTTCTTCTGAGACTTCTTTGGAGAGGCACTGGGACCTGGCTCTTGAGGCAGACACCCTCCAGTGCAATTCAGCCCGAGATCCCTTCTGTCCAGAGTGAAGTCTGCAACCTTGCTGACAGTACCAGCTCTACCAGGTTCAGATGTTTGCTCTCTCAACAGCAAGACTCTGGGGTACTGGAAATTCTCAGACTTGCTTAGTTGTGACAGCTCTACACGTTTGGAGTCTACTGAAAAGCATCTGTTCGTACCCTTGGGGACAACTGCAGTTCTATCATTTAAACATTGTGATCTTCAACAAATTCTGTAACTTCCCTAGTCCTTGGTATCCTCATCTGGAAAGCCAATTATAGTATCTTTTTGTTGGGTTTTTTTTTTCCCCCAAGACAGGGTTTCTCTGGCTTTGGAGGCTGTCCTGGAACTAGCTCTTGTAGACCAGGCTGATCTCTAACTCACAGAGATCCACCTGCCTCTGCCTCCTGAGTGCCGGGATTAAAGGTGTGCGCCACCAAAACTCGGCTCAATAATAGTATCTTACACTAGACAAAAACTCAGTGAGTCAACCAACATTTTAGGAGAGCTTGCACTTAGGGAAGGGTGGGTGACAGTTTGCTGTTGATGTCTTCATTCAGCCAAGGTGTTGGGGCCTCACAGAGTACTCTTGGAGTACGCTTGCCTACAAGGGTGTCTAGGACACACCCCCACTTTGTTCTGCTGGCTTTCCTTTTGCTGCAGCCTATGCTCTGCCCAGAGCACCCCCACCCCGACTCTGAGGTCCCCTGAGAGGCATTGGTTCTCTCTTCCTCAGGTACCTAAAGACTGTCTTACAGCAGAGGCCCCCAGAGGGAAGGTGGGCAGGCTGCTAGTTGTGTTTGCCTGCTGATAAGAGGACTTCAGGTCAGGCAGAGGTGACATTTTACTCTTATTTATTTACTTATTTATCTGTGTGGCCCTGGTTGTCCTGGAACTCTCTCTGTAGACCAGGCTGGCCTTGAACTCACAGAGATCCGCCTGCCTCTGCCTCCCCAGTGCTGGGATTAAAGGCGTGCGCCACCACTGCCCTGCAAGAGGTGACATTTCGTTATCTTGTTCCCTCATCGCCAACGTGTCAAAGAACCTATAGCACCAGTGGAGGTTGTAATGTCCTCTGTGGCCCAGCTCAGTGGCCATAAAGGAGATGAAGAAGGCAGGTAAACTAGGAGAGTGATGGGTGACACACCCTTGTCTTTCCTGCAGACCCCAGAATCGTGGATCAAAAAAACCAAGAAGTGAATTGTTGTCCCCATTTCCCTGGGCTCTACTCAGTTAAGAGTATACAAACCGTAGATCAAGGAGAGATAAGGTGACCCATAGCCAGACCTGGGGCAGGGCCAATTTGTTTCCAGAAGTTTGCAAAGAACAACCTCTCTTGACTCAAGGGCTCCCTGCTCCCCACGGTCCCGCCTCTGACTCTTTAATCCGAGACTATAGACAACCCAGACCTAAGTGGACCTCGGTTTGTGACCACCTCGCCCCCCCCAAACTAAACACAAACCAAACAAAACTAATTCGGTGTTGCAAACGGCTGGCAGCCTGTTAGCAGTGGTTTGCTCCGTTGCTGACTTTTCTTACCCAAACAGAACGAAATACCGTGCACCTGAGGCAGACTCTGCGGGGCAGAGGAAGCGGAAAGGGTGAGACAGATGCCTAGATCCCAGGAGCACTTCTGACTCAGAGAGAACGCGGATATGCAGTGAGGTGCGAGACATAGCCGACAGTCAGACAGACAGACGCCCCAGCAGAGGTTGGGAAGGGGACCGGGATGGCCGGTGAGGGCGGCGGGGTTCGCCGGCCTCGCTTTAGGGGGTCCCTGCACCTCTCCGACTCGGGCTGCCGGCGCCTCCTCCCCCTTCCCAGCATCTCCTTGGCCGGTCCGCAGGTTCCAACGTGTCCCCTGCCCGCCTTCCCAGCGCCCAAGTGACGCCAGAGCCGGGCGGGAAGAGGCGCCATCGGGAGTTCTCCCTGTCCCCCTCCAGCCCCCCCAGGGGTGCACTTACCAAAACCCCGGGTTCCCTCTTCCTGGGTCTCTCGGGTGAAAATCCAGGGCGGGTTGGTGGCGTAGAGGGACGTGGTGGCAGAGCTGGTATGCTTCTTCCCGAAGAGTTTGCTGAAGGTGCCCTGCATCGTCTGGTTCTTCTTCATGCTGCTGCAGGCCTCTCCGTCCCCGAGGGAAGGACCTTGCCTCCCTCGCCGGGCCCTGCCCCTGACTGAACTCCGCAGCGTCTCCCCAGGGGACACTACCAGGCCATGGCCCCCAGCCGCGCTCCCCGCCCGCGCACCCCGCGACAGGTGGTGCGGGCGCCGCCGCCGCCGCCGCCGCCGCCGCCGCTCGCCTGGAAATGCGAGCTACCTGGACAGGTAAGAGGCTGCCGCCGAGACCCGGCCCCGCCCCGCCGCCTGACTCCTCGGGCCACATTCCTGCCTCCTTCCACAACAGCCCATTGTTGGCACGGTGCGCTGGGCTGAGGACCTCGCCCGGCCCACGCCCTGCCTGGGAGAGGAGCCGCCCCCTGCCCCGGGTTCCCCACGGCCCGCCCAGTCCACCCCCTTTTCCCTGGGCCAGGAAAGGCCTGGGGCGAGTTCCTTACTTCTGTGGGCTGTTCCTGAGCAGGTCGGGGTGGGCAGTTTAGAAATGGTTCTTGTGTCCCAGAAAAAAGGGACCTGCCTGGCTAAGCATGGGCTGAAGCGTCCCGTGGGCCCCTCTGACGTGTGGGCAGGAGACTTCGATGAGTACGAGCGATAACTGTAAAACAGCAAAAAGGTAGCGAGCAGGGAGGGCTCCACAAGGTGATGTAAGCAAGCGATAGCACTTGAGAGACACAGGCGGGAGGATAGTCATAATTCGAGGCCAGCCTGATCTACACAGGAAGTCACAGGCCAGCTGTCATTAAGAAATGTCTGTACTAGCCGGGCTGTGGTGGCGCACACCTTTAATCCCAGCACTCGGGAGGCAGAGGCAGGCGGATCTCTGTGAGTTCAAGGCCAGCCTGGTCTATAGAGCTAGCTAGTTCCAGGACAGCCTCCAAAGCCACAGAGAAACCCTGTCTCGAAAAACAAAACAAACAAACAAACACAGGAAGAAACTATCCTCATAGTTTTTGATCTATTGGGTGTCGTTAGTTCTGCCTGCTGGAATGTTGGTGACCTCATTGGTCTGATCTTGTCACCACACTGCAGTCACTCAATGCAATGACATAGTATTGGAAATTTTGGCATTTTGTAGACATCAGATTCTTTTTTCCTGTATTACTATTATTTGGGGGGGGGGTTCGGGACAGGATTTCTCTGTGGTTTTGGAGCCAGTCCTAGAACTAGCTCTTGTAGACCAGGCTGGTCTTGAACTCACAGAGATTTGCCTGCCTCTGCCTCCTGAGTGCTAGGACTAAAGGCTTGCGCCACCAATGCCTGGCCTGTATTATTATTTTTGTTTGTTTGTTTTTTGAGACAGGGTTTCTATGTATTGTTTTAGAGCCTGTCCTGGAACTAAATCTTGTAGACCAGGCTAGCCTCCAACTCACAGAGATCCACCTGCCTCTGCCTTTGCCTCCTGAGTGCTGGGAAAGGCATGCTCCACTGCCGCCCGGCACCGGCCTATATTATTATTTTGAGATAGTTTCAGGCTGGTCTGAAACTTTCTGTGTAGACTAAGCTGGCTTTCAGTCATAGACAACTGCTTGCCTTTGCTTCTCGGGAACTGGGACTAAAGGCATACTGCATGCCCACCAGTGAATGCAATTTTTAAAAACCAAATTTGGGGTTCTGGAGAAGACTCCGAAGAGCTGCTCCTCCAGAGGACCGAGGTTCAGTTCTCAGCACCCCCATGGCAGTGGACAATGCTCTGTAATTAAAGTTACAGGGGATCAGATGCCCCCTTCTGGCCTAAGTGTGCACTGTATACATGTGGTACACATATATACATGCCGAAAACCTACATATAAAATCTAAAAATATGTTTTGGTGGCAGGGTCTTACTGTGTAGCTCTGGCTGGCCTAGAACTTGCTATGCAGATACCCAGGCTGGCCTGGGGCTCACAGAAAACCACCTGTCTCTGCCTCCAGAGTGTCAGCAGGCCAGGCATAAATAAAATCTTTAAAAATTGTATTATTGGCCGGGCGTTGGTGGCGCACGCCTTTAATCCCAGCACTCGGGAGGCAGAGGTAGGCAGATCTCTGTGAGTTCGAGACCAGCCTGTACTACCGAGCGAGTTCCAGGACAGCCTCCAAAGCCACAGAGAAACCCTGTCTTGAAAAACCAAAAAAAATTTTTTTATTATTATATGAGTGTGTGTTTTTTTTTTTTTTTTTTTTTTTTTGGTTTTACGAGACAGGGGTTTCTCTGTATTGTTTTGGAGGCTGTCGGTCCAGCCCGGCCTCGAACTCACAGAGATCCGCCTGCCTCTGCCTCCGGAGTGCTGGGATTAAAGGCGTGCACCACCACCGCCCGGCAAGTGTGAGTGTTTTATCTACATGCATACATGTGTGCCACATGCTTGCCTGGTGCCCTTGAAGGGCAGAGGAGGACATGGGATCTGCTGGGATTGGAGTTACAAAGGTTGTGAATCACTGTGTGGGTGGTGGAACTGAACCTAAGTCCTCTGCGAGAACAAGTGCTTTTAACCTCAGAGCCAGCTCTCCAGACCCATAAATAAAACCTTAAAAACCATATCTGGAGTCAGCCTGGTGGATCAGCCTTGAAATCTCTGCTGCTCATAAGGCTGAAGCAAGAGGGTACCAAGTTCAGAGCTGTATGGGTTTCGTAGATGGTTCAAGTCTATCCTGGGCAACTTAGCAAGACTCTCTCAAAATATTAAAATAAATAATAAGTAAGATAGGGATGCAGCTTAGCACAAGGTTCTGGTTTAGTCCCCAGTGTCTCTGTGCAGTCCTGACCGTCCTGGAAGTCACATAGTGTTGACTAGGCTGGCCTCGAACTCACAGAGACCCACCCGCCTCAGCCTCCCCAGTGTTGGGGTTAAAGCATGCACCACCGCATCTGACTGATAAATATAATATTTTTTTTTGGTATTTTGAGACAGGGTATCTCTATAACTTTGGAGGCTGTCCTGGAACTCACTCTGTAGACCAGGCTGGCCTCGAACTCACAGAGATCTGCCTGCCTCTGCCTCCCAAGTGCTGGGATTAAAGGCGTGCTCCACCAATGCCTAGCTCAGAAAAACAATTTAAAAAACGTGTATCATTCAAATATTTCTGTGGTTAGAGACCCACCTGTGACCTCAGCCGTCCTGACACAGGACTCATGGAAGACCTCTCAGAGGCCACGTAGTGAGTAGGTAAGTGGCCACTGAGAGAGTAAGGACGTGTTTTGGCTTTTTTATCCCGAAAGGATCTTGAGATCTCAGCAGGAAGACAGGCTTCTGTGACTGGAGGTGGCCCCCTGTGAGTGACTAAGTACAGGGCTGCAGTAGCTGTCGCTAACCAGAGCAGTTCACAAGGGCAGAGGTCAACAGGAGCTGCCTAGTCCAGGAAGGTTTCTAAAAATGGAGAACGGAATTGGCCTGTGCAGGAAGACACAGATGTCACAGAGACAGGCAAGAGACCAGTGAGGACAGTGCACAAAGCTATATAACCCAAATCCCTTTCCCCTTTTTTCAATTAGAATTTTTATTTGCTTGTCTGTGTGTACAGCCTGTGTGTGGATGCCCACAAAAGCCAGAAGAGGGCATCAGATCCCCCGGAGCTGGAGAGAAGGGCAGTTCTGAACCACCAGATGTGGGTACTGGGAACCAGTATGGTCCCCTGAAAAGCAAGAAGCAAACTACTGACCCCCTTGCAATTTTTAACCACGTTTATTTATTCGTGTGCCCGTGTGTGCATGAGCATGGCTCAGTGTGCCCGTGTGTGCATGAGCATGGTGTGCCGTGTGTGCATGAGCAGTGTGCCGTGTGTGCATGAGCATGGCGCAGTGTGCCCGTGTGTGCATGTGTGTGCATGAGCATGGCGCAGTGTGCCGTGTGTGCATGAGCATGGTGTGCCGTGTGTGCATGAGCATGGCGCAGTGTGCCATGTGTGCACGAGCATGGCGCAGTGTGCCCGTGGAGCTCAGAGAACAACTTGTAGCCGTCACCTATCTCCTTCCACCACGTAGGTGCAGGGGGTTGAGTTTAGATCCCGGCTTGAGAGCGGGCACGCTTATCTACTGAGCCATCTTGAAGGGTTCCAACCCTTTACCTTTTGTCCTCACACGGTGGTTTCCGCTACTGTCCTAATGGAGAGGACACAGGATCCCCAGTAGATCTTGGACATCACCATGGCCCACCCAAGTGCTCTAGACACTTAGGCACACGAAAGAGGCTTCGTTCTTGAAGGTCTATGAGACATGAGGTCTCTCTTGCTCTGGTTGCTTCTGGGCTCTTAGACCTAGCATGAGACCTGGCAGAGTCACCATCCATAGCTCCAATCATGTGTAACACCACCACACTTACTCAGCCACTCTAACTGAAATAGCAAGTTCTAGGTTCAGTGTCTCAAAATCAAAGTGGAGAAGGATTAGATATTTAAAGTTAGTCTCTGAACTCTACATGCATGTACCAAAGCATGCACACACACACACACACACACACACACAGAAGCACATACACATGCACACACATATACACACATACATATACTGTACCAATATTAAAATGGAAAAAAAGGAGTGGGTATGATTAAAATACAGTGTATACATGTATAAAATTCCCAAAAATAAATGAAAAATTTATTTAAAAATTAGAATAAGAAGCCAGGCATTGGTGGCACACGCCTTTAATCCCAGCACTCGGGAGGCAGAGGCAGGCGGATCTCTGTGAGTTCGAGGCCAGCCTGGTCTACAGAGCGAGTTCCAGGACAGCCTCCAAAGCCACAGAGAAACCCTGTCTCGAAAAACCAAAAAAAAAAAAATTAGAATAAGAAAGATGCTGGAAAAATCAGAAACAACCAAATGTCCACCAGAAGACAGCTGGTTGAATAAATTATGGCATATCAACACGATGGGATCGTAATGCCACTCTCTGGAGACAGTGATGCATCCTGTGGTCCCCGTCACTCAGGAGGCTAAGCAGAGAGGAACACTTGAGCTCAGGAGTTAAAGACCAGCAGGGGCAACGCAGTAAAACACCGTCTGAGGGGAAGGAGTGAGATGAGCAAGTGCTGACTCTACCCAGGCATCTCCGAGCCGCAGTGATGAGGTCTTAAGCAGCCCTGTGCAGCTGTGTCCTGCTGTTTGTGAAAGGGGAGAGGAACGGGTAAGTATGGTCTTGTTTGCTTTTGTTGGCACACAGAGAAACTTTGAAAACA